ATGGACTACAGTGAAGTAGGAGACTTCTGGTGTCCAGCAAGAAAACTTTAGAAATCAACAACATTAGCATATTTATAGATTCTGAATTTTTTTGTGAGGTAGAAAGAGTAGATATCTTTTTAAGCAAGTGGAAATTATTTTTTTTTGCAGAAAAAAAACATTACTGTTCCAAACTGTTTATATATATGTCTTCACACATGTCTGGAGGGGATCTTTAAGCAGCCAGATGGTTTATGTACATAACAAGATTATAATCATAATTTATTTGCCATCATTTTAATTTAATTTAATTTCAAATTTTACCTTTATTTAAAGGTTTGTCGTTGTAAATCCTTGTGAGAAAACATTGACACCTAATGGGTATATCCAGTATTGATGTTCTTCTCTGACCATAAGATTCATTGATGGTTGGGTTCATAGGTGGTTCCAGCCTTTTGAGATAAAGCTGAATTCATTATCGCATAATTCTTTCAGTCAGTCAGTCATTTAGTTAATACTTTAACATGTCATTTTATAGATTTATATTACTGTACTGCATGTATAACTCAACTTCAGATGTTAGCTCAATGCCTTTGTCTCAGATAACAATATTTTTGCAAATATACTGTGCAACACTAATCCACTCAGGTCCAACAAATGCTGCAATATACTGAAAAAGTCCATCACACTCACTTACACACAAGAGAGCCCCACTCCTGACTGACCTGCAGTTCAACTGCACTCCTCAGGTGAACTCATACACTGAAACTTAAACAGCTTTGCTCTGGCAGTACTACAGTATTTCAGTCAGGTTATTGTTCTCCTTCCCTGTATCCTGGATAAATCCCACATACATTAAAAGTAAACCTTGTTAAATGAAGGGCAGGGTGTTACAAGGGATTCTGTGGACTGCAGATAATCCAGGAGTCTTGCTTAGCAATATCCATCTAAATATATAATAAAAAGCAGATGGCTGCCTTTTATTTTTCTTTCAAATAAGCCTGAACCTGTAGTTCAGTGATTGGACTTCCAGCTTTGTGGCTATGTTTTTTTCTCACCAAGAAATGAAAATAAAATCTTGCTTTAATCATTTATTTGCTTTCCTGCTGAGAGTTAGATGTGAAAATAGATAACACTGTAACATTCTGTAAAACATTGTTAGCTCTGTCCAAACGTAGAAAAAATGAATAAAACATGCCTACCAGCATCTCTAAAAATCACTCATTAACACTTTATGTGTTGTTGGTTTAACTCAAATTCTCATATTTGCCAAACTAGCCAGGTTTGCTGTTTCCCCCTGCTTCCAGTCTTTCTGTCAAGCTAAGCTAACTGGCAAATGGCTGTAGCTTATTTACTGTACAGAAGAGTTGTATCAATCTTCTCATCTAACTCTTGGCAAGAAAGCAAAAAACTTTGATGTATTCTCTTAATCATATCTAGATATCAAGCCTATCTAACTCGTGATTAAACTGATTATTTAGCAGTGATGATGATGGGTCAGAACAATTGAAATCATTGAATGAACTTTTGAGCAAGTGCTGCTGCAGGAAATGAAAACTTGTGAGACGCACCTGCAGGCAATTTTGACTCAGTGGTTCATGTATCTGCATGTATGCCTCAATTGTTCAACCAGGACCAAGCTCTATAATCAGACGTGTGATTGTGCCATATGCTTCATAACAGTGTTCCAGCAATACACAGCTGAAGGCTGCCGATTTTAGGGGCCTGCTGGTTACAATAACACCCCATGTCCTTTGTGTGTTATGCAATATGAAGTGCAGGAGTGTTTAGCCTACTCATGTTAGAACAAGTAGTCTGTAGTTGGCAGCCACCATGCTATGATTGTGTGTCTTTGTGTGTGTGCACTTGTATATGTGTTTAGTCTTGTGAAGGTAAGGTGGTATGCCCCAGTGTGCACACTACACAACGAGGTAGAATGTGCTGATGCAGCTCTGACAGTAGGAGTAATGGACCCAGCCTTAACCTGAGGCGACTGTCGGAGCTCAGAGAGATTTGTGCCTTCCATTTCTGTCAGGCTGCCACATGGGAGTCAGAGTGGTCACAAACTCAGACCAGTGACATACAATCACACCCCAGACTCAAACACTTCAAGACAACCACAATGTCATTGCTAAATCGACTAAGCAACCAGACAAGAGGAGTGATTATCACGCAACATACAATTTAATGACTTCCAAGCAATGGCCAGCAGTTCTTGGCATTACAGATCCCCTGTGGGACTTAAGAAAGAGATGATTCATCAGCCTATATTAGGTCCAGTTTGTTTGCATCAGGTTACGCATGTTGATGTTATATGCTGAGTTTGTCTGGATTACAAATACATTCTCATTATATTAAAGATATTTTCTTTGTCGCTTTATTTTTATTTTGATAATCTTTATTAACTCTGGGATTTCCCTTCAGTGTTGCTGGAAAATCTGACAAGTTAAAGTAATGATTCCAAGGCAAACAAGATATAACATATTATTTAGTCAATTTCAGAGGTGTTTTAGAGATTTTGTTAACTTTGGACAGACTGTTTCCCCTTGCTTTTAATCTTTCTGCTGTAGACATGTATATGGATTGATAAGATTGTTATTTATTTTCCTTTTGCAAAACATTAATCATTCTCCAAGATGTCTATGACAACAACAACAATCAAAATTAAGTTGCATTAACCAATGTGCATTGGATTGCATTAGGATTTTATAGAAATTTTAAAAAGTTTAGCTTCTTAGTTTTTGCTGCTGGTCCACTTCCACCGGTATGATCCTGGTGCCCCTTAAGAGTTTTCCTGGGATTTTTAGGATTTAGGAGGAGGAGGATTTATGAATTCTGAGATTCTGCACGTTGCATGTTACATGGAGTTACACGTTATGTTGCCCAGGAGTCGTCGCTGCATGAGGCTGTGAGTAATGCCCCAGCTCTTTAGCAGTCTGGGTTTGGTCGGAATGTGGCTGGACACGCCTCTCTGTCAGAACACGGATGCTCTTCCAGACCTCAGCAGGGTATATAACCGACCTGAGCGCAGACGAACTGGGTGGAAACCTGGAAGAGCAGCACTGTCAGCTCCTTCACACCCAGCATCTGTCTTCTGTCCTCACCTCACCAGGTAATGGAACTTTATCAATAATCTCCACCCTGCACGTTTTTTCACAGTGCTATAGAATAGAATAAAAACGCTGTGTGGCCATTCAGATAGCGTTTATGAAATGATAGACCACTTGCTCGTGTTATTCGCCCTAAATACTCATAGCAGCAAGTCCCTGCGAGACTAATAACGCTCACATTTACATGAACTCCTCTGATTTTGCATCAAAGTAAGCACAATAGGTATGTAAAATACATTTTTAATGTATATTATAAGTCAGTATTCAGGCCACAGAAAAAATGACTGACTGAACTTGTTGATTTGATTATTTATTAACTATTATCATTATTTAGTTAATAGCCAGGAATTTTCAATAAACAATAACGGGGAAACTGTTGTTTGATGTGCATGATATATACTCATATTGTCATTATCAATTAAAATGTTCCCAGTGTTGCTTCCAGCACTGGGTGGAAACTTTGCAGTGCAATAATTACATACTGTACAGTATAACATACAAGGTTTTTGTCTTTGGTTATGGGGAGTGGCTGTTCCTGCCCCACAATACCACACTAACACTTTGCATTGCAGTTTGGCAGTAAGTGGAGGGGACACTCCCTGGAACATCAGGTGTTTTTCCCTCACTTTATATCAACACACTTATATTAATAACATGCTACCTGTATTACAGGTTAGGCAACAAATGCTGCAGAGTCAATACAACAGAACACAAGGTCCATTGATTCTGGGAAAAAGAGGACGTTTAATGGAAATGGAATAAAGCAACGTAATGCACTACTGATGACATGCTATAACTGCTTAAATAACTTTTTTCCCCAGCTGATACCTATAACCGATAACTACCTGGTTCTCATGGCTGATGGCGATAATGTTGTAATGTTGTGATGGAGGTTTTAATATTCCATAGTTCTGACCTAACCAAAACTTTCTATCATTTTCTGTCGATCGAGAAACTTATTAATCAACAGCCTTTGAACTCGTGTGTTGTAAGGTTATTGCCCTTGCTGTTACCTGATGGGTTACTCATGAAGACGTGTCTCCTCTCAGGTCCTGAGCACTATGGCACTCAACAAAGAGTTCGCAACTGCAGGGAAGAAGCCCGGCCTGCAGGTGTGGCGGGTGGAGAAAATGGATTTGGCCCCTGTCCCTACTGAACTCCACGGAGACTTCTTCAGCGGAGACTCTTACATACTGCTCTATACCACCTCTGCTCCTTCTTACAACATTCACACGTGGATTGGTATTAGATTTAGATTCACCTCAAAGCAAACTCTGACTTATTATAGAATATAATTCACAACATTTGACATCTGTACTCTCTTTTATTCATTGTATCTATAATCTGTTACACCACAGGCAGTGACGCTTCCCAGGATGAGAGAGGGGCTGCTGCCATCTTAATGACCCAGCTGGATGACTTCCTGGGTGGAGCCCCAAGACAGTTCACAGAGTTTCAAGGGGAAGAGTCGCTCACCTTTCTGGGCTACTTTAGGTCCGGCATCAAATACAAGGTGAATCATGAAATAGGAAGGAATCTTGTTTTCATGGTAAATCATTTCTTAGTACCAGACAACAAAAGCAAGGTAATGACCTTAGCTAAAGGTGTTGTTTAAGCATTGTATGTTGATGTGGGAAGTAGAACTCGTCGCAGTGCTATTTCGGGAATTTGGAGTTGGGGTTGGTTGCTCCCTCAGGTTTTCTGCTGAAGGTTTCCATGGAGAGTTTGAAACGGCAAACAAGGCAAGCAGAAACATGCTCTCTAATGCCAAAACAGCAAAAGGGTGCAGATGTCACAAGATGAAGCAGGCCACTGGAAAACTGACTGCAGCCAGTGTTGTGTTTTAGTATTTAGATGTGCAAATTTTAAGTTAAAATACACATTTTCTCAAGTCAGAATGTAAACATCTTTAAAAGAATGTTTTGACATTTTGGGAAATTTGCGTTCTTGCCAAGAAAACTGTTGTTGTACATAGTAAACAAACATAATGTGTTAATTACTTAAAGCTTACAGACATGAGAGTGGTACACATTTTCTCATCCAATTCCTGGCAAGCCAATGAATATATTTCACAGAATGTCAAACTGTTTCTTTAATGTTAATCTTTACAACATCACATCATTAGCAGCCTATCCTTTGATGTCTACATGCCATGCATTTGCAGTTTAATGTCATAGTTCTAATGCTTTATTCGTCTTGGCTCCTGTCAAAGAAAGGCGGAGTGGCCTCGGGCTTTAAGCACGTGGTGACCAACGATGCGAATGTCAAACGTCTGCTGCACGTGAAAGGTCGTCGCACTATCAGAGCCAAGGAGGTGGACCTGAGCTGGGAAAGCTTCAACAAAGGAGACTGCTTCATCATTGACTTGGGAAAGGTGATCTAGAAGAGGGACCAGATACCCACAATATGTTAGAATAAAATAATGCAGGCTTCAGGTGCTTCTAGTGTTTCTTCATAACTTTATTTCCATCTTCTTTTTCTCTGCTCCTCTCTGTCAAATGCTAGAATATCTTCCACTGGTCTGGCAGTGAAAGCAATCGCTTTGAGCGCCTGAAAACCACTGAGCTTGCCCTTGATATCCGAGACAATGAGCGAAAGGGCCGTGCTACAGTGGAAATGATTGAGGAAGGCTCTGAGCCAGAAGCTGTGATTGAAGTGAGCTTTTTATTTTTTTTTTACTTTTAAAATTTGATCAGTTTGTTTCAGGAAACATCTGTGGCTGTCACTGCCTGGCCCATTTGGCTGCTAGACAGGATGTAAGGGCAATGTTGCAATCTGTGTGTGTGTGTGTGTGTGTTTATTTATAGGTGCTTGGACCCAAGCCCGACCTCCCATCAGGAAGCTCTGATGATGTATCCACAGATCAGAAGAACAAGAGTGTGGCATCTCTCTATTTGGTAAATATGCACAGAAAAATATAACTTCTTAAACGAATTCCTGTGGATAAATGTTACAGTATCTAAAAGATTCCGATGATACAGGGAGATATTTTGATCATCTCTCTGCTTTATAGATTTCTGATGCTGCTGGCTCCATGACGACAACCATGGTGGCTGATAAAAACCCATTCAAACAAAACATGCTCTCCCAGAATGAATGCTACATCGTGGACAATGGAGGAGGCAATAAATTATTTGTCTGGAAAGGTATCAGACATTTGTCCATTTCTGCAACCTCCTGGTCTTTGCATACACTTTATTTTGTGTATTTATCAATGCACCAACTAGGAAACATGACTCAATGATAGATTTTAGTTTGAAGTCTCTAACCACTGTACCCCACCCCAAACTGCAGGGAAGAATGCAAACGCAGATGAGCGCAAAGCAGCATTTACTGCTGCAAACAAGTTCATCAAAGACAAGAATTACTCCCAAAATACTCAGGTAATGTGGCCATGCAGAGAAAGTCTGCTAGCAGAACTTTATCCTTCCTACCTTGGCTTACCCTTTATGCATATTTCTGACATGAACAGGTCCAAATAATGCCAGCAGGGGGTGAGACGACCCTGTTTAAGCAGTTTTTCTTCAACTGGTTGGACAAGGATGAGACCACAGGCCCAAGTAAGGCCTACACCATCGGTAGCATCGCCAAGGTGAAGCAGATTCCCTTCGACTCCTCCAAACTCCACAGCAACAACATCATGGCTGCCCAGCACGGCATGGTGGATGACGGCTCTGGGAAAGTCCAGGTATGAGTATTAGCCTTACTACAGTCATGCTGTGTATTCATTTCTTTAAATATGAATGTGTAGATTTGACTATGGTGGGTGTGTCTGTAGATTTGGCGCGTGGAAGTAGGTGAAAAAGTGCCTGTGAACCCATCCACCTATGGACAGTTCTTTGGAGGTGACTGTTACCTGGTGCTGTACTCCTACAACGCGGGAGGCAGAGAGAAGCATATCATCTACACCTGGTGAGGGCAACCTTTTCAGCATGGCTGGATTTACCTGTTAGGGGGGCACTGGGCAATTATTTTTTAATTTTTAAAATGTTCTTGTTAATCAGTGTGCCATATCAGCATTAAGATTAACATTATGGCAGCACGTCAAAATGTAATTCTCCAACAGATCTCTATGTGTAATTTAGACAATATGCATAGTAACATTTAAAAATAAATTTTCCCATAATCAGGACATTGTAATTGTATATGAGATCACAATACAAGAAGGCTGCCATCCTTATGAAAATATCCATATCTGAGTTGAAATCATATACCTGACCATGAGGTGTTTTAATAAGACAGAGAGCACAACTGCCAGTGGCTGCAAAGGTGATTTGGCTTGCGGATGAGAGGGCACTTCAGCATTTCCAAACAGACTTGTTGCTAATGTGCCTTTAGTTAAGCCACTGTTGCCAATGCTAATCCCCCCTGCACTAGAGGATCACCATGTCAGTAGATTCATTCTCTGGGGACCAGTGGATCAATGTCCAGTCTCTCTATTTTCATGGCAATCCATCAAATAGATGTGGACATATTTCAGTCTGGGCCAAAGCGGTGGACTGGCGCTTTTAACAGTACTTTATTAATCCCTCTTCGGGGAATTCAGTTTGAATTTGAACATGCAGCCCGAAGTGCTTCACAACACAATAACAAACAACAAAATAAATTAAAAAAAAAAACAATCAAAATTTAGCTAATCTACAAAATAATACAATAGACACAATAAAGTGTAAAACACCAATAAATAAAAGTCAATATCAAAAATAAAATTAACACCAGGGACAAGGAAAATGTAAAAACCATTGATTAAAACTTAAAAACTAGGGCTATAACGTTACTTCAAATTAAATCTGGATATTAAAAAAACATGTGGGTATATTGTATGTGCCAATGGATTTTTATTACAAACAAAGCATATTGGTGTAAAACAAAACTGCAGTTAATCAAATTTTGTACCAGTGACCCTTTATGGACAGTTGACCAGCGTTGCTTTTCATACTGAATAGTGAAAATCACCATAAATACATCACGGCTTTGCTGTCTTTAGGCAAGGACGGAGTTGCACCAAGGATGAACTGGCTGCTTCAGCCTTTCTCACAGTCAACCTGGACGATTCCATGGGTGGAGTAGCTACCCAGGTAAGATATTTACTGTGGAATCAATCAATGGTGTTACTCAGGTCTTTCTTTAAGGGAATGGTTTGACATCTTGGGAAATATGCTTACTTGGTGAGAGTTGATGATAACATTGATAACACTCTCATACCTGTGCATTAAATATGAGGCTAGAGCCAGCAGCCAGTTAGCTTAGCATAGAGACTGGAAACATGGGGAAGCAGCTAACTCTCAGCAAGAAAGAAAATAAGCGTTTTTCACAAAATGTTTAAGTATTCCTTTAATGAGTTGCTACTGCCATACAAGCATAGAGTGAGGTTTAGCTTCTGTTGTGTCTTGGCAGGTTCGTGTCACTCAGGGCCAAGAACCTTCCCATCTTGTGAGTGTGTTTAAGGACAAGCCTTTGATTATTCACCTGGGTGGAACATCGCGCAAGTGTGGCGAGAGCAAGCCTGCCAGCACACGTCTCTTCCACATCCGCCAGAGCTCCACCAAAGCCACACGGGCTGTTGAGGTCAGCCTTGTTCATTGCACTGAATGTGCATTAAACTGACACTTTCTAACGAACCATTCACACCATCTTTCCTCTCTTTGTATCTCACCAACACAGGTAGGGCCCACTGCCTCCTCCCTGAATACAAATGATGTGTTTGTCCTGAAGTCACCTGAGTCCCTGTTCATCTGGAAGGGAAAGGGAGCGACTCCAGAGGAGATTGCTGCAGCTAAGTATGTTGCCAGCCTGCTCGGGGGAGCTGCCACTGAGGTGGAGGAGGCCAGCGAGCCAGGTGAGTGCTGAATAAAGACTTTAAACTCTGCAGGATAACAGTGTAAAATATTTCCAGTGGAAAACTATGGTTTTCTTCTTGTCGTCAGCTGGTTTCTGGGCAGCACTGGGTGGGAAGAAGGAGTACCAGACCTCCAAGACCCTGCAGAAGACAGTCAGGCCCCCACGACTGTTTGCCTGTTCAAACAAGACTGGCAGGCTGATAGTGAGTATTTAAGGTCCCTCTCCAGTCAGAAATCAGTTTTTCTACTCATTCCTACAGTGTGATGTTTTAATGCTGTAAGTGCAGAGTCTGACACTAGAAGGATGTTTTCACATTCATCTGCTGAAATTGGAAAGTTTCTCTGTGCTCACTGAAAATCAATTTTAAGGGGCAGGGCTTATAAGTATGATTTGTGACATCACAAATAGTTTGGAAGTCCATAGCTTGGTACACATGACGTCACTTCCTGTTACCTTCATTGTCACAAACTCTCAAAATGGCTGTTTTGCGTTGTTTATGGTTGTTCAAACCCAGAAACCTGAGGAGCTTTTATTGAGTACCAAAATTGTTGTTCATAAGGGGGAAAAATGCAAGAAATTGACTTTTGTGGACAGGGCAGCGTTACATATAGAATATTTTCAACCCTTTTACCTTGCTGACAGACAGCCCTTTCCAACAGAAAACTGAAGCCTTTGGTGTTTTAACATGAGGCAGTGGTGGACCAGCAAGTCCCATTTTTTGTGAGGTAAAATTACTGTTTTTATCAAAGGAGTCTGGTGGCTCTAAAGAAAGCCATATAACAACTTCAGTTTCCCGTTCGGAAAGGGCAGGTCTTTCAATTCAGTTGAACTGACAGTTTCACTGGAACTACTTAGTAAGTGTCCTACATTAGGGATTAATGGACACCCTGCAGCCAATCAGAATTGAGTATTCACCCAGACCATGGTGAAGTGAAGTAGGAGACATCTTGTGTCCATCAGGAAAACTTCAGAAATGAACAACATTTGCATATTCAGAGATTCTGGATTTTGTTTATGACGTAGAAGGAGTAGAAGAGTAGTTGTGGAAAAAACATATTCGACACACATTATTGTTCCAGGCAGACTATTTGTGTATGTCGTAATACTTGTCTGGAGGGATCTTTAAATTTTTTATTCATTAGGGGATTTAGTTACTTATTTTATTTTCATATGATCGTGTATGTCATTTTTAACTCATGATTTGACAGTTGTTTACAAAGACACTTTTGTAAATGTGTACTGCCCTATTTAGGCGGAGGAGGTGCCTGGTGAGTTCACGCAGATGGATCTGGCAACCGATGATGTTATGATCCTGGACACGTGGGATCAGGTACGTTGCCTTCACTTTTAATCAAACGATTCAGCCTCGGTTCTTGCAGGTCTCATTTTCATTGCTGCTTTATCCCTAAAACCTCTGTGGTTATTTCTCCCACCAGATCTTTGTTTGGGTTGGAAAGGATGCCAACGAGACTGAGAAAACCGGATCACTGACCATTGGTAAGTCAAGAGCTATTAGAGACGAGGAGAAATCATAGTAGAGACTGTGTTCACGAGCACATCTTCGTTTTTCTTCTAGCGCAAGACTATGTGAATTTGGACCCCTCTGGCCGCCGCGGTATCCCCATCAGCACAATTAAGCAGGGGGAGGAGCCACTCTCCTTCAGCGGCTGGTTCCATGCCTGGGACCCCAAGATGTGGGACAAAGATCTTTTGGAGTGCCTGCAAGCCCGTATCAAAAATTAGTAGTAGAAAAACACTGCAAGATACCTGCAAATGTCAGCATTAAAGTTTTGACATCCTATTTTGCAACTCTGATACACTTAGCATCTCAAAATGGTATTTTTTTTAACACATCAAAGTAAGATTTACATTTTGACATAAGAACGTGGACAGAATCGAATAATTCCACACTTGCAATAGCTCAACTATATTGAATCAAACTTTTTCTGGAATTTTCATTGCAGCTTGTTTTCATTCTGTGTTATGCATTACAACAACAAGCTGACAAGTGTTCATCCAGTGAAAAAGCATGATGCACTATTTATCCCAAGTTCAGTGTGGCCTTAAGGGACAGTTTTTAATTTACATGTGTGATAGTTGAGATACCGGCATTTTAAATGCCACAAATTTATTTCTGTTAGCATCAAAAAGAATTTTTACGTAGATTTCCCCATTTTAATGCTTACAAAGACCAATTATTTTGTGAAATTTAGCATTTAAATAAAAGTATGACCTTTTTTGAAAATCGTCTTGTCTGATTTCATTTAATTTTATTAAAACAAGAATGAATGCTTTTTCTGTCAAGCATATTTTTCACATCTAATGATTCACTGCAACGATAAACTTACCATGTTATCATGAGCTTAAATCCTTACTAGGCTTGAGCACCATGTGTAGGCCATGTTATGATGGTAATCTTCAGCCCATGTGCTTCTGCTGAGTCGCAGACCTGTGGATTAAGGAGCGGGCTATAAAAGTGCCTCCACGTACCTCGGCTACTACCCCTCTTTTGTTCTCTTTTATTCTCTGCTGCTGGAGCTGCAAGACAAACACTAACCGGGCACTATGAACCAGAAGGTGGTACTAATTACAGGCTGCTCCTCTGGGATTGGCCTCGCCTTGGCTGTCCGCATCGCAAAAGATGAGAAGAAGAGGTTCATGGGTAACTTTGCAATGACTTTACTTTTAAGCTTTGTCTAAATTTGCTATGACTGACAAATGTATTTGTGAAAATGTGTGCAATTTTATTAATAGCTGTACCAACTCAACACTGATATATTAGGGGGACAGGGTATTGCAGTGTTTTTTTAAGTCAAGGGCCTCCATGCGCAATTTTAGTAAAGTTGGAGAGGGTCTTCCCTTTTTATAAGTCCCTTATTTAAACTAAACTTATTTAGATGATGATAAATAATAATTGTGAATATTAAAGACTCCTTCAACACAGAGTGACTTCTAATATTACCGGTATTATTGTTTAGGGGTTATATGGCTGCAAAGTGTAAGAGGTACTTTGGGTGTACTAGTGAACATTATGCTTTTGGTTTCAGTTATTATGTAAAATAGAAGGAAGAAGAAGAAATAGTCCCAGTGTCTGCAGATTATCTTGAGCAACTGCATGGGACCTTGTTCCTGGAAAATATGTTGCAGTTTAAGTTGTCATTATTCAATGCTTTGAACATCATAAAAAAACATTCTGTTACCTCTGTTGTATTGGTGTGGTCGGGAAGTGTCCAAGTCTCTTGATGGACTTGAATTTCACCAGCATTTCTGCATCCAAGTAGGAAACAAAATCACAGCTTCAACTAAATTTTGTTTGTTGTAGTCTATGCCACCATGAGGAACCTAAGCAAGGGTGAGGCGCTGGTCGAGGCAGCGGGTCGGACTCTGGGCAGGACTTTGGAGATCAAACAGTTGGACGTGTGTGACGAAGACTCTATCAAAGCCTGTGTGGACAGCCTACCTGACCACAGGGTGGACATTCTTAGTAAGCCAACACTTTTAAGTCCAATGCAGTCAGAAAAAGTGCAGCTTTTCATCAGTTATTGGTTCTGCAATTGCCTTAATAACATTTCTTGAAATGCTTGTCTTCCTCTCACAGTAAGTAATGCTGGGATGGGTCTGATTGGACCCATTGAGTGTCAGTCCATTGATGAGATGAGGAATGTAATGGACACCAATTTCTTCGGGCTTGTGCGGTTGCTGAAGGAAATCCTACCTGACATGAAGAAGAGGAAAAAAGGCCATATTGTGGTTATGAGCAGTGTCATGGGCATTCAGGGTGAAGGAGGATACATCTGTTCATTATAAGAGCATTTGTTTAGGGCTTGTTACAATTACAACAACAACAACAGTTACAACTATTCCTTTTATTATCGACTAATTTGTCTATAATTTTCTTGATTAATCAATTAGTTGTTTGGTCCATAAAATGTCAGAAAACAATGAAAGATGCTGATCTGTGTTTGGCTAAGCCTAAGGTGACGTCCTCAAATGTCTTGTTTTGTCCACAACAACAGTTTACTCTCACACGCTAAACCAGAACATATATATATATATTTGAGAAGCTGTAATGAAGTGATGAATTGATTATCAAAATTGTTGACCACTAACCAATTATCAACTAAATGTTGCAACTCTACATTTGTTTATAGTGACAAACGCTGTATTCAGTGTTTTACTCTGTGCTCTTTTTCCAGGAATTTTATTCAATGACGTCTACGCAGCATCCAAGTTTGCAGTGGAAGGCTTTTGTGAAAGCTTAGCGGTACAAGCCCTAAGGTTCAATCTCAAGTAAGATATATGGATTATTTTATGATACTTCTGCAGAACACAGACACTCCTGCACATTTTGGTCATTTAATGTTGTACTGGTTTCTCTCTGAGATTCAAATTGTGCTTACAAAGCTCAGTAAGGGAAACGACATTCCCCTCCAGAGCCAACATGAACATGCCTGCAAACTCATAATGCACGATCAGACACATCATTGTCTTATCATTTAGAGCAAAATATGCCAGCCAAAATAAAACAACCACAGCACACCCTGTCTGGGACAAGTCCTAACACAGCATCATTCAGTAACCAAATATTAAAGGGAATAGCTCTGCTGGGTGGTTTCAGATGGGAGTACAGGAATAGTACTTGACATAAAATGTTCCATAGTATATTAAAAGTAACATTAGCTCTGTAGCATTCAGTTATCTTCTAACTTAGCATGTGGCTCTTTAGTTTACTATTGGGAGGGATATGATTGTGTTCGCACTGTACTTCTCTCCTTGTCTTTTCTCAGTCTCAGCCTGATAGAGCCCGGGCCAGTGATAACAGAGTTTGAGCGTAAAGTCTTTGATGAGGGCTTGAAGACTGATCTCAGCAAAGCTGACACAGTGACTGCTGACATGTTCATAAATATCTACTTGAAGAACTACAAACAAATCTTTGAAAGCCTCGGGCAGAGTGCTGAGGATGTAGCAGAGGTAAAGTACTATTTGTCCAAAAACATTCTTCTCCTCATTATATATTGCTGACAGTAAGGCACTGAGATCAGTTCAGATACCTATGGTACCTGTGGTTTATGTTTGTGTGTATGTTTCTGTGTTTTTCCTCCCAGCATACTTTCAAGATCATCACCATGGATAATCCCCCTTTCCGTCATCAGACAAACACACTTTACACACCTATGACCACACTCAAGTATGCTGACCCCAACGGTGACCTCCCGATTGACACGTTTTACAAAATGGTGTTCGAACACGACAAGGTCTTCAACGCCAGTCTGAACTTCCTCAAACTTCTGCGCTGGAGAAGTCGAAAGAGCTTTACCTTGGAAAAGGACAAGACCAACAAATAGACTCAGTGTCATCTTTTATCATCTTTATGGCCAGATACATTCATGCATGCATAATTTTCATGTAATTTTCCTTTATTTTAGTTTTAGCTAGACTTCTTTGTGATAAACAATGATTGCTGTGAACAAATAAAAATATGAAAGCCATAAGTAATCGCAACAATGCTGTCCCCTTTTACATGTGTCTGTGAGCTGCAGGTCCTAAACCACAACCTGGTAGGCTACATTCTGCCGACTGCCACAACTTTCTTAACTCGTTAAGCCTCCAAGCCCTACATTACACAATATGTAAGTACTGTAGTAGACAAAACTATGCGGCAGCGACAACCTCAATGCATCTCATCGAGCATTCAGATAGTTACATTGCCTCATTGTGGAGTGATGTGTATTAAAGACATTCTAAACATTTAAAAGCAATTTTTAAATATTACTTTGCAAACCAGTTGTGTTAGTTAGATAGTGGCATATTGTGTTTAAAACACTGGATTATAGGCTATTTACACATGGCCTAATCTGGCATTCAGCTGTTTGCTCTGAGCCTCACAGCACCTGGATATTTACTGAGAACTCTTTTCATAAAAATATTTACGAGTGAAGGCAGATAACTACGGAAGATATGGTGTCAATTTTTTTTATCCAGTGAATGTAATGCGCACATTCACTGGATAAAAAAAAATCGACACCATATCTCGTAATTACGAGACAAGATAAAGACAAAGGAAACGTCTGTAAATCCTCTTTGGTTTCTGTTATCTACGGGAGCGCATTGATTCACGGGATAAGAAAACAAACTAGCACACCTGTACCACATTGCCACATTGGCCATGCTTCACTCAGAACCACAACTGCCACATCCACGAAGAGTTAAAATCATATGTGTAGCGGTCCGCCAGGAAGTGTTGAAAAGATGAAGTGTTATTCAGCGACCCAAGCATTTACTTGCTGGAACAGTACCATCTTACGTGCTCGCGCCGTAGCCGACGCAAACGAACGAGAGCAAAACAAGCTCAGACGGTAGCGCCGTGGTCGCTTCACGGACACACCACAACACTCGCCACCCCGCCCGGAAGCTACCTGACTCATTGCAATCCCAAAAGTGCTCCATCTAATCACAGGGAACAGTAACGATTATACAGCAAACATTACTGCAGGTCGCTGCAGGAGGTATAGTGTTCATGCGATAGTGCAATTAAAGAACTTGTTTTATTTACGTCTGGCTGGCTTTGTTAACGGGTTTTGCCACTGGTGGAGGTCGCTTACGTGGCAAAGAAAAGCACATAGCTGGACATGCAATGCGGCTTCCGAACTGGAGC